AATTAGCCTTGACAACAAAAGTATAGGCATCAGATATCAGCTCGCTCCTACTTTTCTATTCTACTGTAAACACTGTGTTCTTTTTTTAAATTGACTTACTTCTGTGTTCTGTGGCTTTATCTTCTTGGCCAAGTCTCAGAACTGAATAATATTCACTAATGATTTGCCAATCAGTTGATTATGGCTATGTTGACAGCTTCTGTTTCCAATTTATTTATTTAACAGATAACTTCTGTTTTGATTAAAGAATGTTGGTACTTCGGGTTTTGTTTAACTTGGAAATAGTTGATTATATTCTTAATAGTTGCTAATGAGAAACCTGAAGTCACTAAACTATAGGCCCCTTATTTGCTATGTTCCATGACTGTTAGCCTGATTGCATGCCAGGTGTCATACATGTGAGAAATGACCCGAAAGCCCTGCCTGAATGTGGGGGTCTCTGTAAGCAAGGTTCTCCTCTGTCTGTGCTAATAGGAGTTAAAAGTGTTTGAGGAAGGAAATTAAGCCCTTAACCACAGCAGGCAGTTTGCAGCTGATTATTTCAATGAAAAAGATCTCAACGTTAATTTGATATTGTCTCAGTGGGTACAGACATGAATAAAAGAGTTCTTTCTCCCAAGAAACTTCCCCCAAATAATGTGATGTACTACCATGCCGGCTATCTGATATCAGGTGGTGAAGGGAATATTAGGCGAGGAAGAGACAGGGCCAAGAGATAATCCCTCAACATTTGCATTTGAATGTCACTGTTACTTAGCTCTTTTAAGTCCATTCCAGGACATGGTGATGTAATCTTACATTATGGTGTCTTGATATAGTAGGAGGAGTTTGATGAAGAAAACATGCGTCTGTATACATGTGTAGAAATAGGCAGCTGTATTCTCAGTATGGATAGAAAGATGTTTTGCAGATGAAAGCATTCTGCAAAGTATTTTTATCAAGTACCTTATTCTGACATTGCTTACATCTAGGTTTAAATCCATACTTTCCTAGGGAAACACGTTCTCTGATACTCTTGTCTCCATAGGTGCCAGGCATTTAAATGCTATGTTGCCAGCCCGAGAGAATTAAGGACCCGAAGTCAGTGAACATTGATGTACAGGAAGAATGGTGACAATAAGTCATGCTACAATATGTAGACATGGAGAAAGCATCCCTACCAATCCTTAGAATGTTTGGCTGAGAGCTATGCACTGGGTGGCAGGAGAAACTGATTAACCTTTTACCTCTAAGAAGCTTCCTCAGGCGTACAGTATGGTGAACGCCATGAGAGAGACCTACAGTATTTATTAGCTGTCCAGCATCTCAGAAAAAATTACAGTTATTGTAGGAATATCATTGATAGATTATGGCTCTCAGGGATCCTGGGGAATGAAATCTGAGCATAGCTCACATCCTTTCCTGTGTGTTGTGCCGGCTTTTGTTGGAAGTCTTATTGAGCGGTTAAGTGAGCAAAAGATGAGCTAAGTGAATAGGAGGAGGAGGCCCAAGGAGCTGGCAGAATTAAATGCCCTGCTGAGATACTTGTCCATTCAGCAGCTTCAGCTGCTTAGCACTGGGCCTGAGCCTTCATGGGGGTGGGGGTGCAGGTGCAATAGAAGAGCCGGCCCCTGCTCTCCAGAATCAATGACTGATTGGAGATACAACGCACGTGCACATGCAGTAATTAAATGGCAGCGCCAGGGCGTGCCCTGATCTAAGTGCCGAACAGATGGCTAGAAAGGACAGAGAAAGAGGCACACGTCTGGACTGCTCTGGGAAGGTTCATGGAAGGGGCCTGGGCTGAGCCTTGGAGACCAGGAGGTTAAGGTTAGCAGGAAAGGTGAAGAGAAGCTCTGAGTGGAAAACGAGGCTGAGGGCCTTGCGGGGGATTAGGACATTTGTCTCCGTGAAAAAAATTTGTATGGGAAAATGATGGCAGATATGGTTAGAAAGGCAGGTTGTGACCAGAATGAATTGTCATGGAATGCAGGTCAGGAGTTTGGACTTCATAATGTAGGGAAACAAATAATGAATCTATGTTGACAGTGAGTAGCTGAGAGGCAGTATTTAGAAGAGAATGGAAAGAAAGCAGAAAGCAGAAAACCAACTGGGAAACAGGATACCCTGAACTTGCAAGGGTGGTTTGCAAAGAGAACACACAGATTGTTAAAACAAACAAACAAACGAAAAACAAAACACCCCAGAAATGTTGGGGGTTGAGCTAGATTACAGGGAGGAAGTTTAGCTTTGGGATGAGTCTGGTTTCAGACAAGTTAAATCAGAGATAATGGTTGTGTCTCACCGGCAGTGTCCTGAAGACATTTGAAGTCACAGACTGGAATTCAGGTGAGGGGGCCACAGCATATTCAAGAGTCTGTTTCATTCTTTGGGGAGAAAGTTCAGTAAAGTGAAGCCAGCAGAGGAAGCAAGGGCCAACCATGGGAAAACAACTACCATTTAGTTAAGATTATAATATTTTAGGTAAGATCAAAGAAGATTCAAAATGTAGCTATGTGACCTAAATACGAAAGCTTGTAAGGCTTTTAGGGTGAAATAAGGCTTTTCGGATAGCTCACAGATACGTATTTGAAACAGAGATTCAAGTCCTTTGGTGAGGCAGTGCCCGTTTTACCTCAGGAATGTTAGGTATTTTAAGATTACGGAGAGATTATCTGATCTAATGTATCTACCTATTGTTGAGATTGTTTAAATTGCTTTTAATTGTGCTTCCATTGATTTTTTTATTTCTTCCTTCTAGAGCTAACTTATCTCTTGTTATATTTCAGACTCTTAGTTTAAATTACCTTCATTAGAAATTATAAAAGAAGAAACACAGTCTTCTTTTATTACTTTATGGATAAAATAGCCCCAGAGAGAGAATCAAGGATGGACATGTAGAAAACAGTTCAAGGAGGAAATTCTAATACCTGCCAGAAGTAATGTGTAGCATGAGGTGTTCTAATTGTATTTCTCACAGACATAGGATAGGAACCTTGTCACCGGATTTTCTGCAAATAATAGGTGTGTGCCATTTCCCTCATTATATTAGAGATGACATCCTGTCCTCTCTCTAATAGGGGTATATCATGATCTCAAGGAAATGAAAAGATACCAGTTATATTGTATGGCAATAAAGGAATTGGACAGATGTAAAATTAGTTGTAATTACATGTACCACTGCATTTTAAAATTAAAAAAAAAATGTAATGTGGAATGTGCAATAGATTGGGAAAGAACCCTGATTATCAATAAAGATATACTTCAGAGTAGGTTAAAAATAAATATGTGAGTCTTCATGAGAAAAGGGCCATGAGTGTGTCAGTAAATTCACATGTGAGGGCACTAAGGTGCATGGTTCCAGGAACAACTGAACCCCCACCAGTTCCCTTGGCCAGTCTCCTTGGCTGGTATCTGGGAATGCCCTCTTCTTAGGTATCTCTAGAACTCCTTCCTGACAAGAATGTTAACTTTGAAGGAATCTGTGGCTGTCCAATCAATCAGAGACCTGAAAAGAAGCAGAAGCTATTGGGAGATGATATAGACTCACTCCCAGTTTGCTTAGCCCACTTTCACCTCATCCTTGGTGATAGAAAGCTTTTTCTTACAGTTTAGTTTAGGTCCAGGTACAAGGAACAGAAAACCCCAAACCACTGGCTTCAGCAGGATAGACGTTTATTTCTCTTTCCCATAAAATCCTGAAAGTCGTCAGTCAGTGCAGGGCTGTGGAGAAAGGCAGGTCATCTCTGTTCCACAAAAGCTTCAGTAACTCAGGTTCCTTCAAGCTCATGCTCATCCTCAGGTGAGACCTTCCTTCTCATGGACCAAGATGGTAGCTCTTACATTCCAGACAACAGGATAGATTAAAGAACTAAAAAGGAGGGTGGGCGTGGGAAAGGCATGTGGCAGCTGCCTTGCCAGGAAAGGTACTAGAAGCTTCCTTAGGATACTTTTGCTTATAACCCAGTGGCAAGAACTTGGAAATATAGCTGTCCCAACCTCTAAGAAGCCTGGGAAATGTAGTCTTGCTTCTAGGCAAACACAGCCCAACCAAGCAATATGTGACATGGGCGAATGGGAAAATAAATACTGGGAGAAAGTTTATAACCACACCTTCCTTTTCCATTGCAATGGCACTGTGGTATCAGCGGGCAGAGCGCTGGGACCGAGAGCCTGACACAGAGAAGCAGTTAGCAGTGAACAACCTGGACCCTGATGTCACACGGCCTGGACTTCAATCTAGGACCCTCTCAAATACAAAGGGGGAATAGGATCAGTACCTTCCTCTTTGAGTTGTTGTGATTAATAAATGAAATACTGAATATAAAACATTGAGCATGGCATCTAACACTTCAGAACCATTTGACAGATGTTAACTCTTATTGTTAAAAGTAATGTGAAAAGCTTTTGAATGTCCAAGTGCATATAACTTCTCTCTACATTCCCACAATTTGGAGTATATACTTACTTTCTTTTCCAGGTATGATAAGATACAGAGTGGTTTATGTTTTATTTCTGGAAATGAGCGTGTGCATGTTTCGTTGGGGGGTGAGGTGGTTCCTAACAAATCATATGAGTGATTTTCCTGAGTTTTCAATGGGTTCCACGTGTTTCGATGACACCACCCTACAGACTCTTACCATACTTTTTTTAATATCAGTTTTGATTTAAGCATATTTTGCATTAGAGGGAATTGTGCATCACATCAAGAGGAGAAGCCCATCCTTGGACGGGAGGGGTTCAAAGGTGGCAACAAGGAGTGGGTATGCTGTGCTCACCTGCAAAGGGACAGGCAACTCTGAACTGCAGAACTAATGTGAATCACAATGTAAAAGTTTGGCTCACTCTGCATTTAGAAACGGTGATAAGAGAGAAGCGGGTGAAAGCGAAGCTTGATATTGCAACTTTGATGTGACAATTGCCTTAATGATTATAGACAACGAAATAGCTGTGTTGAGATGGTTTTTTTTGCTGATACCTAAATGTTCTTTTGCTTCTCTCTTTTTCTTTCTTTCTCTAAGCCCCCTCTTTGTTCTGTGGGTTTTCTTTTGTAACTCCTCCAGACTACAGCTTTGTTCCCCCTTCTACTCCTTTCTGGTCAGGTACTGCTTTACTGCTTTTATATGTCTTTTCAAGTTGCTTCTGTTTGCAAATAAAATATTTTGACTTCTGTGTATGGCTTCTCATGTAGATAGATACATTTCCTCACAAAAAGTCCCCTGAGTCACATTCTCACCATGCACTTTCCTCTCCTCTGTCATAAAGTCACTGTTTGTCATGACATTTCACTCCTCTGTTTATGTGTATGCCTGTGCTATATATTCCAGTAAGACGTTTTCTACTTTATCTGTTGGGGAGAGATGGGAAAGGGATGGGGGCTGAAATTATAAAGGAGGGCATGAAGTACTCTGTGAAATCATTAGTTTTCTTAAGGATCAGAAATTTTAGTTGAGAAAAGTCAGTGTTTATGTATTTCCATGAACAAAATAAATAGAGCCTAAATCCCAACTTTGTCTCCAAATATAAGAGTAAAATTCAGTGCATATTGCTTGAAAGGATGGCTGTGCCCGTCAGTTAGTACATGGGCATTTTGGTCTTGATTTTTTGTCATTGACTAGAGAATTTAATGGTTGTTTATGTGACATGTAGGGGAGTGCATTATGGCTAGATAAAGTATGTTTCCTTACAGATTTTAAAAAATTAACCTATAAGTCCCGATGGAATCATTAACCTATAAGTTCCCAATTGGAACAGTTTAGAACTAGAAGGACCTTAAAAGTCATCTAGCATGGACCTTTCATTTTATAGGTGAGAAATATGTGACCTAGAGGAGTTAAGAGACCTGTGTAAGGTCTCACAGTTAAGCTGATGACTGGGTTTTTCCATCACAGTGATATTTTTATGTGCACCCACTCTAGTAGTGCCCTGGTAAGGGGATGGCATTCAGTAAGAAAACTACTAAAGTGGGTTTTGCCTAAACAGTAAAATAAAATGGCCTATTTTTACTCCCTTTTCAGTTCTAAAATCTATAGCATTGCTATTCGTTTATCTTATGATCGACACCTGGAGACTAAAAAAATTTCTGTCCTTGCAAAGCCAAAATAATAGGCCAGAGGACTCTGCCTCCAAGTGGGCAGGCTCTGCCAGGATAACACAAGTTGTAATTGCAGCTGCCTGGGCACTGGGAACTGTTAAAAGTACAGATGGATGGTGTTTCCCATTTGTTTCTTTTTCTTATACTTAAGTTTTCCACCGTTTAAGGTTTATAAAGTCCCACCAATCCCAGGTGAGTGATTCTCAGAATCACTGAACATATCATTGAAAATACTTTATAACCCCAAAGAGCAACAGGTAGAGAAGTTAATATAAAATGTGTTATGGAACACTAGAGACGAGCAAACATACAGCTTGAATGGGGTTTTGCTTTTAAGACAGGACAGGTGAGGGCAGGGAGTAAGTTAACTGCTCTTCCATAAAAAAAAAAATTCTGAATATTGGAGATGATTACATACTTTAGTAAAGGTTTTCTATAAGGCAGTATTTGTTTGAAAAAAACAACAAACGGTGTTTGTGTGTTCTTTATGTGAAACCAAATTTCAGCTTCTTCACATAAGTGAAATTATATGTAAAAAATAACAGAGTTTATCCCCGAATAATTTTAACAAAGAAAGGCTGGCTGGACGAGGAAGTACCATTTAACCAGAAGTGATGACATAGTGCCAACAGGAGACTTTCAGAGCGAAAAGCTTGGTTGTTTTGAGTCTTAGTCGAAAAGGTTTAGAGATAAAAACGTAAAGCTTCTTACCTTAGGGTTCTAGTCAGAAATAGATTACTGTGAGATTATTAGGAAATTTATGCTAGTTATTTTAGATTCTATCTCCTTAGATAGTAACTTAGATATTAACCCTTTTTTCCTACAAAAACTAGTCCCTGTTTTGAAATTATGAAGAATGTGAAAACAGAACAATGGTCTTTAACCTTTATGAAAGGAACGCGACTACGCCTGATTGAATTGACGCAGCAATTCTGCCACTTGCTTTCAAGCTCCCCTGCCATTATCACTCGTCTGTAAGAAACCATGGCTATGCATTTCAATAGCATTGATAGCATTCGTCTGAATAAGTTCTTATGGTTGTCACCCTGCAAATCAACGGTCCCTGTCATTTCCCCACAGTGTTAAGTCCGAAAGTGCTAGGCATCGCCATTGCGCGCTATGACTTCTGTGCACGAGATATGCGAGAACTGTCCTTGCTGAAAGGAGATGTGGTGAAGATTTACACGAAGATGGGTGCAAATGGCTGGTGGAGAGGAGAAGTGAACGGCAAGGTGAGTTGTCCCTCTCAACCTGCCTGTGCATGTGAACGAAGGGGACTGGGCCGCCATTGACATCCCTGTGGCGCTGGGAGGAGCCCCTCAGCAGTACTGCAACGTTCACCCCCCCAGACCCCTGGCTCCAGAGGCTGGTGGCATTTCTTACTGATAATAGACACTCAGGAAAAGTGTGTTGAACGAATATGATGAGAGTGGCATCAGTGAGGTTCCCTTGGACAACTATAATGGCTTCCCGTTTGGACAGGGGTTGAGTTCTTTGTAGTTCCTCAGCATAAACTTTACGTGTAGTCCAAAATATCTGTAAGAGCTGCCGATCTAAATGGAGTGAGACATAGTTCCTCTGTCTTTATATCCTGTTCTGTTCTGTGCAGAAATCTGAATCATGGAGTGGTAGAGCCCTGCATTACACTTAATTTACATATTATTCATGTGCTAGCTGATTAGAACATTGTTTAAGCTTGTTTTAGTCCCCTGTTTCTATCACTCACTCTATTAGGCTGTAGGAGCAGTTAAAGCAATCTTCTTCCCCTACAGTGGGTATAAAACTCCAGCTTAATCCGGGTATTATGAAAACGAAATGCTCTGTTTGTGGAACCCTTTAAAAGCGCCAGATGCAAAGTCACGTTGTGATGTTGGTTGCTTTTCTTTTTCAGGTGGGCTGGTTTCCATCTACGTACGTGGAAATGGATGAATGAGTGCCAATCCAGCGTTGCACCAGACATTTCAGAGAAGGGATAAACAGAAGCCCGCACAGCATTGTGAATTAACTGAAGTGTTTAAAATGCTGCATTTCTGGCTGTTCATTCTCCCTCCTAAGTCTTAATACCGAGATCTAAAGATACTGGGACTGACAGATTAATGGCTTGCCTAGAGCCTTGCAAGAAGCAGCCTGCCAGTCTGTCATTGTCAGGGACCAGGGCAAAGCCTAAAGCCCTTCTTCCCAGAAGAGCCTGCAAACGCATTGCTTCATGTTTCTTTTTACTTCATCCCGTCAGACACCAGGAATGCCTGCCATTAGTAAATGTTTAACGCATATTGACTTTCCTCTCACGTGCCATTCACCAGAATTTTTGATGGCACTGAGAAGCAGAAGTTTAATTTTGCTTTTCCCAGCATGAAGAAAAATTAGAGCTCTGCCATTTGGGCAGCCTACTAGAAAGGTCCAGCGTTACTTGTTTTAAATTGCCTCACAAGGTGACTCATTACCTGGCAAACCCAGATGTTACGATAAAATATCAGAGGCAAATGCTCAGGTTTGCTTCATAAGTGATATATCCCAGAGGGATTTTAATTATTCATTTGATGTCCTGATTATATTTGCAAATCTCTTTATAAAAAGAAAAAAAAGTACATAAAAGAGAGTGTCTTCATATTAAATCTTCAAAACGTTCGTGATTTCACAGGGTTATTTTGGCAATGGAGTACTTCACTTGATGAGATAATCTTGGCTGCGTATACTACAGGTAGTTGTGAGTAACCTGAGGAAGGTGGCATTGTTTACAGAAACAGATCAAGGGCTGTAATTTATATTGTCATTTTTATAGAAGTAACACCTATTAACACACACGTCTTTTACTCCCCACTAAAAGACCTGGGACATATTTGCTGATTCTCATATTTTCCTGGAGTATTTACGGCAGCACAAACAACTTAGTGGAGGGTTTTGGAAGGCAAGCACAGCTGGGTCCTTTATGCATTTCCGGGACAGGAGGGTCACTAAGCTTTCCCGGTCTCCTTCAGTGTGGGCTCCCAGCTTCTCGCTGGTGAGGGTCTCCACGTCAGCAGGCCCTTTATGGGTGTGTATTAATTGGTGGAAAGATCGGTTTTGCAGTGCGTTTATTTGACCAAGAGTTCTCTTTTTATGTGAGGAGTCTAAATATGTTCTTCCTGTGATATACAGAGTGCCCTGTTAAGACAGTCAAGTTAAGACACTAACTTGGCCCTTTCCTGAGGAAATGTTTTTTTCCATAGCAGAAGTCATGTTCTGACAAGATTCAGAGAGTGTTTCATGTTTGAAGAAAACAAAACATTAGAAGCATTAATTTAATAGAGCCAAACTAGGTATGCCCAGTTCTGAAATTTTGGATCTTCTCTGAAATGGGGTGGGTGTGGCCTACCCTCTCCCCAAACCACTTGAAGGCCACAACTTGATGTTCAGTGGACACACGCCGCTGTTGGAGACCCTCATGGGCTAGGACTTCTCAAATAGGAAAGATTCACGACCTTTACCTCAGAATTATGTAAACTGTGATTGTGTTTTAGAAAAGTTATTATTTGCTGAAACCAGTTAAGTTTTTTTGTATATGTGTAAATGATCTCAAAAATGAATTTTATAAAGTGTTCTGTACAGTAAAGTTATACCCTCAAGGTGTACTCCTGGAGTGGATTCTTCCTATAAAGTCTTATCTGACTGTGTCTGAGGAATGTTTTGTCTGTTAATGTCAGCCAAATGCTGTTATGGAGAGAGGAGCTTCATGCAGATTGAAACGTGTGCAGAGTACTGTAGCTTGTGTTGTTTCTTTTATTGTCATTTTAGCCAATAGATTCCCTCCCTTACAAATGATGTTTGGTCTTCTTGTTGCATTTCATGGACCCGAGGGTTTCCTAGCAGAGGATAGCAGAGACCCTTTTCATGACGCTACTGATTACATCTTTGTCTATGTTTAATACTTTGTATTGGAAACTTAAAATGCTGCGGATTTGTGTAGCTTTCTAATACCAAAGACAGAAGCCAATGTTTTTTCACATACTTTGTCTTGCCTGTATGAAGTGCTTATGTAATATGGTGAATGAAGTTGGTCTTTCACTTTGTAATATTTTGTAAATATGTCAATACAATAAATAGTTACTACCTGCATTAAGTTGATTTCTCGAGAGCTGAAGAGCATTTCCATTGAATGATTTCATAATTTGAAATACAGTAGGTCCCCCCTTATCCATAGGGGATATGTTCCAAGACCCCCAGTGGATACTGAAACCTCAGATAGTACTAAACCCCATATATACTATGTTTTTTCCTATACACACATACCTGTGATACAGTTTAACTTACAAAGTAGGCACCGTAAGAGATTAACAACAATAATAAAATAAAACAATTAAAATGACATATAATAAAAGTTATATGAAAGCAGCATTATCATGTAAACTGAGGGTCACTCGAACACAAGCACCGTGATACCGGGACATTCAGTCTGATAACCTTGACGGCTAGACTAAGTGACTAATGAATGGGGGGTGGTGTACACAGTGTGGATACACAGGACAAAGGGAAGAGTTCTGTCCTAGGCGAGATGGAGTAGGACAGCGTGAGGTTTGTTTTGTTTTGTTTTTAATTTTTTATTGGGAATTTGAGGGATGGGAACAGTGCTGGGGAATTCGGGGAAAGGGGAACAGACAAGTTGCTGTCCCTTTGTTCTTCAGTCTAGCTGTGGAGGACGCCGCTCCACTGGCCCATGTTGGTATTATCATTGTGCTCTTCCCGGGCGAGGCAGATCGGTCGCCGGCCTCTGGACGGCCGCTCACGGCAGTTCACGCTGGCTGCTGGCCACACACCTTAGCCCATGGCAGCCCACTGCAGCAGGGGTTGCAGCCTATGCCGTCGCTGGCGACCCACGGCAGCCCAGCTCCAGGTCGAGCTGTTGTTCACCATTTTAGCTGCAGAGGGCGCAGTGTCTCCGGCCCTCACGTGGGATCCAAAACGGGGTCCTGCTGCTCAGAGCTGGTGTCCCAAGCCAGCTCCTAACCAATGCATCACTTGGCTAGCCCAGGACAGTGTGAGTTTTTATCATGCTACTCAAAACGGCATGCAATTTAATACTTATGAATTGTTCGTTTCTGGAATTTTCCATTTAATATTTTTAGACCATGGATGATCAGGAGTAACTGAAATCATGGAAAGGGAAACTGAGGACTACTGTATACCAACCTCATAATAAACATGGGAAGAGAAGCCCTAATTTTGATCAGGTTAGGTCAGGATTGCTGCCTAAGTCATGAACAGTGGTCTATGAGGTATACTCAATAGTTGCAAATAATATCTACTGATATGTTTACTTTGTGCCACATACTGTTTTCTAAATGCTTTATTTGCTCTAACTTACAAGCCCAGAGGGTAGAATCCTATATTATGTCCACTTTTCAGATGAAGAAACTGAGGCATTTTGAGAGGCTGCAACTTGACCCAGATCACACAGCTGGTACGGGTTGCAGCTGGGGTTCTGACTTGGGCAGCAGGGCCTCAGAGACTGTAAAACCACCACCTTGTACTGCCAGACTTCATGGGGTGAGAGAGAGATTAGGTGGGTTGCTAAGATTACATAGCTATTTAGTACAAAACAGTGGTATAAACAAATATGAACACAGATTTCAGAAACATTCTTTTATTTCTGCCTCCTAAAAGAAAACCTCAAGCAGATGTTACTGAGATAGATTGGTGTCAGAGATTGAACTTTGTTTTTCTATTTTGATTTAAATTTTGCACAGAAAATAATGAACTGCTAAACCTGAGAGACTCAGAGTCCAGTTTCCTTGATAGGACAGGCCTTCAGTTTTTCCACAGTAGTGGAGGCAGGCTGGTTGGGAGCGCATGGAAGCCCATTCCTTCTGAGGACGAGGAAAGGCAGGCTCCACAGTAGGAGCGTTTTGGATGATGTCACCAGCACAACTGTGCTCAGAAATATAAAATCTCCTCTATTAATTATAGTAGTGGGTTATCTAGCCCTTAGCACTTCACTTGAAGAGTCAGTTCCTTTAGTGTCTTTGTTTTATCCCTTCTCTTCAACGTATTAACATTTATGTGACTTTTAGGCCTTGTATTAGATCACTACCATCCATCCTCTGTAATAAGAGTACAATTGTAATAAGACCCCCCTCCTTTATTTATTAGTTAACATGGAACTGTTATCCTTTATAACAGCGGTTCTCAACCTGTGGGTCGCGACCCCTTTGGGGATCGAATGACCCTTTCATAGGGGTCGCCTAAGACCATCAGAAAACAAAAAGATACTTACATTACGATTCATAACAGTGGCAAAATTACAGTTATAGAGTAGCAACGAAAATAATTTTATGGTTGGGGGTCACCACAACATGAGGAACTGTATTAAGGGGTCGCGGCATTAGGAAGGTTGAGAACCGCTGCTTTATAACATTCAAGTATTTTTCTCCGTTCAAGCAATTGAAGTATAATATGTTGACAAAGTTGATAATTAGTCTTTAGGTGCCCTGCTTTGTTCTATTTGACAGCTGCAGAGAAGAGTGATAAAAGCATGGCCTCTGATGTCAGACTACATCAATGGGTTCATATTCCATCCCTGCCACACAGGGCCACAGTCAACTGGTATCATAATGGCACCTACTTCATAGGATGGTTGTGAGATGCAACTGAAATCATACCTATAAAGTAGAATTGTGTACTGAACCGTTTTTGTCATTATTTTCGTTGCTGTCATTGTCAGATGGATTTGCTGGCAAATTTGAGTAGTTGTCATATTAATCTTTGAATTTCTTTAATGTAATTCAGGCTCATTTATTGGATTAAGGGGCAAAACTGCAGATTCTAAATGAGACAGTCTCTTTACGAAGGAAATTAAACCATATGATGTCGCAGAAAGAGTGGGAGTTTTAGCATCAGTCAGACAGGGTTCAAACCCCAGCTCTACCACTGATTTTTCTGAGCTTCAATTCCCTCTTCTGTAATAAAGGGATAATTGCAAGTGTCTGAGAGGGTCTGTTATGAAGAATAAACCATGACATTGAAAAAGATGTCCAGCAAAGGGCCTGGCACATTGTGGCTACATAGGAAATGTTGACCTGCTTCCTTTATGATTATAAAATACTCAGAAACTAAACCATGTCTTGCAGCTTTTATTTTGAATACTAGGGCTAATGCTGTGTTTCTTACACATGGTTTAATTTTGAGCATTCAAATTACAGATGGAATAAAAGGTGTGTGTTCAGGAAGATTAATATGCAAATCCACAAACAATCTCAGAAGTTGGATTTAACAGCTCCACGTTCTTTTGACTAGCAAGATGGAATTTTCACTCAGCTCATAATCATTAAGAGCTAGTCCATTAGTCACTTCATTTTTCACCTACACTAGTTTTCTGGGATTGGTCGGACTCTGATTAGAAATGTCATGCGCTCACATCTGGCAGACTGGAAGGTACCTTATTGTAATGAACGGCTAGTCCCAAAACGAAGGTCAAAAAGAAACCCTGTCTCCAGTTAGGTGCTACCGATTAGACAGGATTGGAGGGAATAGCGACAGAAAGCAAACAAACTCCTCTTGAAGCACTCTAGACTCTAGCTCTGTTAGAAAGTTCCAGAGTGCCTAGGCACAATGGAACTATAGTGACCCAGACGGTGAGAGACCTGAGTGCGGAAATAGAACATACACAAAAGTCACATCATGCCCTGTGCTTTAATAGACATTGGGGTCCATATTGAGCCCTGAGTAGGGGAAAGGTGAACTCCAGGATGTCTGACGCATCCAACCCATCGTCTGCTGGCAGAGCCTTGGCCCTTCTCACGAGCCAGGTGACCCTGGGCAAACCACACAGGGTCTTCATCTCTGAAACAGAAGGGGTTAACAGGTTGAACTCTGTTGCTTCCATCCTAACTCCACAGTTCTGTGAAATTCTGTTTTTCTTCATGGTTCAGAACAAAGAAATTCGAAGACTTCATCAAAATGTAGAGGTTTTAAAATAGGCTAGCACTAACTGTGAAAGTCAATTATCCAGTTGTATTCACAATTAATTATTTACGTGATCCTTTCATGGCTGTAAGGGGCAGAGGACGGCTCCGGGGTCTGCCTTATTCACACTGATATTCTTAACACTTACCTGCTGCTGCATGCCAGAAGGCAGAGAAAACTTGCAGAGTGAATTCCTGTGTGGGGACCTGGGCACCAGCTCCAGACTTTATGGCTCAACAGCTAAACATGCTTTGACCTTTGCCTGTAACAGTTGAGCTCTGTGTGGGTGGTGGCAACTGAACCTCAGAAACTACAGCTGCTCAAGGTAGCACTGGAGACTGGCTGGTTTGGGGCTGGTGCCGGGACACAGCCTCTCTCACTCTGAATGAATTGCTTGGGCATGTCGCTCCTGGACCTCACCCAGCACCTCTGCCACAGCAGTGATGCATTTCGGTTGTTACTGCTCCATGCCCACAGGTGGCAGAAATACAAATGATCTACATTTAGTATACATTTCCCTTCTGCCATTGATAGTAAAAAAATAAATATCCCTTCATCTGCAATCTACAGTTCGAGAAGTCTTTTGACACACCTCACCTCGTCAAATCTGGAGCAGCACAACCCTGAAAGGCCGGTGGGGCAACCTTATCCTCTTTCCATTTTAAGGATGAGGAAACTGAGCCTCCTCGCATGGTAAGATGCACCAAGTTGCAGATTGGAACGTGCAGATTGGAACTGTTGGCAACGTAAAGACTCACACCCAGGTGTCCTGGTTCAAAGTCATATAAATGCTCTTTACATTCATCTATGATTCATCTAAGCCATACACATCTAAGCTTCTGATTTTTCAGAATTATTTCTACAATGCCTAAGGCCTGTCTACTGAGAGCCGTTCCGGGGAGCTGCCAAAATCCGGGTCAGGTGGGAATGTGGCTGGGTCACTGTGCTTGCAGCTCTCGCTGTCAGCGTGCACCCATGAGTGTGCAATGTGTCAGAAAATCTAATAATGACTTGAGTCTCATCAGTGAATGCTTTTGGATTTCTAGTGATTTCAATGACACCTCCTCAGAAAGGGAAAGGTTTTGTTTGTTTGTTTGTTTGTTTTCAATGATAATATAGGCTCTGTCTCCTCTTCTCATTGGGATACTCCCATACTC